CTGAGGGAGAATAGGCCCAGTTTGGTAAAATTAAGAGTGTGTTAAGTTTCAAGGGGGTGCAGTTTAAAGATTAAATTTACATCTGAACTCTCTGCTGAGTTCCTTTCTTCTCAATTTTTACTCTACCAGGGGATTTAAATTCAACCTGCCCAGACCTATTTGATCTAATATTCTGAAACCAGTGCACTGTGCCAGTCTGAGGACTTTTGTATATGGCAGCTATTTATGTTAAGGTCATTTGTTTACTAATGATAGAATTTCGGACCAATTAGATTGTAGTTCTCACAAGTAGGAGTTGTTTCACAACATTTTTTTCATGCAGTATAACAATTTCACTCTTCATAAATCATGGATTACTTTTTCCTTTTTCCTTTATTAGCTAATATTAATGTTTATGCTATCCCTGAGGACTTTCTCTTGTGACTTCATTCAAGTTCTCTGAACAATTTGTTTTGTACATAGTTGTTTAGTTTTGTGTTTCTATTTTATAAGAAATACAAATTTATTATTTGTATTATTAGAAATACTAATTTATTATTATTTGTATTTCTAATTTATTGCACAGATTTAGAAATAAGGTGTAAGGACTGGGTCCAATCTGAGGCAGGATCCATGGAGATTGTCCCAACCAGAGCTATCTATGTGGGTTGGTTTCAGCCAGTATAAAATCTGCTTCCTTTTCTTTTTGTAATCTCACTGGGCTCTACTGTTAAGATATATAGCTGAATCCTCAAAGACAGTTTGAGAGAATCAGACCAGTATGTATGGGTAATAATTATATAATTTTAAGTAGAGATGGCACCACTGGGATGACCTTATCTCTCCCCAAATTTCTGCCAATAGAGTAAAAACACAATAGAGAGAATTATTTTAAGAGAGGGAAGTAGGTCAGTTATCTAGGAAGATAACTGCAGCCTGGTCACCATTGACCTACCCATTCCCCTTTGCCACCCACTCACTCACTCACCAACCAATAGGAAGGCAGTTTATATCCTTTATCTTCATCTGCTTCTCTTCATGGTCCTCCTGGGCACCTATCAGTGATTCCATTCCTGCCTCTACTCACCTTGCTGCAACATTGGATGTGTGCTCCTTCCTCCACCTCCTGATTCATGTCTAAACCCCAGTTCTAAATCCCTCATATGTTCAAAGGTCCATGTCCCAAGTCCCCCGGTATGGGACTTCCATCCTGTCATTCATTCTTTTTTGTTTGTTTGTAACTGAAGTGTGGTGAAGACTCCAGGGGAAGACAAACTTTTCAAAAGTCACTAAAATTTGAAGAATCATCCTGTGTCTTGGGGCTCCTTCTCAATGTGTTTTGTAACCATAGCTTTGTCTGTGTTCTCAGAAATTAAAAATTCTCATTTAAAATCAGAAAACCTTCCATTCCTACTGGTTGGTTTATGGCAGGTAAAACCATTCGAACTGGCCTTTCTAGACACCTATGTAGACAACAGGTAACTGCTATGGTCTGGATCTCAAAACTTCCTATGTTGAAGTTTAATCCCCAATTCAACAGTATTAAATGGCATGGCTCTTTAGAGGAGAGTAGGTCAAGAATGCTCAGTCATCGTGCATGAATTAGTGTTCTTACAAAAAGGCTGAATGGGGTCTTGCTATGTCGTCCTTTGCTTTTCTGTCCTATCTAGCAAATGAGAACACAATGTAGCATCCAAAATAACATCACAGAAAAAAGCACAGCCCTCTTTTGGACGCCAAACCTGAGGACACCTTGTTATTGAACTTTCCGACCTCTAGAACTGTGAGGGGGAAAAAAAAACTATGTTCTTTATAAATTGTTCAGGCTCTGGTATTTTATTACAACAGCACAAGTAGACTGAGATATGGGCCAACTATCTGCAAGGATTCTTGCTAAGTTGTCATATCACTTTGAGGTAATGAGTGCTAACAGGTTGTTTTGGTTTGGAGCATAAATGTCTTGGTCATTAGTCTGTGGTTCTATAGGGAGGTTGTGAAAACTTTAGCATGTGGGGTATAGAAAAAGAAAGTTATATCACTGGGGGGATACCCTTAAAAGGAAATATTGTGTTCCTGGCTTTTGCTCCCCAACTGCCGGGAAATAAAACAGCTTTGCTCTTGAGGGAGGGATGTGGGAGGACCAAAAACTAACATGGCCCATGTTGAGTGACGGGTCTACTCTGTATAGGGAGGGGCAGGGTACAGTGATACATACTCTCACCTGGACCACAAAGAATAGTGGAAGAACAACAGTACTAAGCAGATAAACTGCAGCCACGAGATATCACTTTTCTACTACACAGCCATGATGTGCAGTGTGATATGCAACACTGTGGAGTAGTGAGGTATACTGCCTTAAGAACATTACAGTTGTGAGAAACACTATGGGGAACTGAGAGGGCATTGTCATATACATACCCAAGAGCTCAGCTTCTCTTTCAGCTGCTGTTTCCTACTGTTCATCCAGTGTTCCATGGCTGTGAGCTTTTCCCTCTAGTGTACCTGGTTCTCCCTCTACAAACTTGATCAGTGAGTATCTACTTTGTTAAGTTTGGGGAAAAATAGAAGCCTTATCAGTTTGTATTACAGCACCGGGTACTTAATAAAAGCTTGGTAGATGAGTGAATGCGTGAAAGCACATTCCTGACAGGGTGAAGAGAACAAATAATGGAAGTCACTTTTACATTCAACAAATATTTATTAAAACAAAAGTGAATAAGGCTTGACCCTCTATTGTGAGGATGCCTGGTGCAGAGAGGCAGACAATCACAAAGCTACAGTAAAATCACAGTTAATTAGTATTCATTGAGGTATAAACAAAGTATTTTGCAGGCACAGTAGAAGAGATAAAGAAGGTGAGAAAGGAAAAATTAGTTAATTTATACCTGCCTAGGGGATTCAGTGAAGGCTCCAGAGAAGACATCTGTAAGTTGGGGCTTGGAGGAATGAATCCACCAGGAGTATAAATAAAAAAAAGGAGCCTTGCAAGCTGGTGCTTATAGACTAGGTAAGTAGGTAAGGCCAGGTAAATGAGGGGTTCAGGGAACCAGGCATAAGTGAGGGAGAGAAGAAAATAAAGAAGGAATAAGGAATGAGCAGAAGGGCTATTAAACACAAACCCATAGCTCTACTGTAGAAATTAAAGTTTTGGTTTCCCCAGGAGGCAAAAAACTGAAAGCAGAGAAGGTGGGAATTCATTAGATATGGGTTCCGGGCACTTCCTCAGTCAGACCATGGGGCTGAAACACCAAAGTTAGAGCTTCACAGTTATGACCTAATTTTTCTAAGCCTCGAAGTTATTAAAAGCTACCGTTCAGAAGCTTATATGAAAAATGAGTTCTAACTGAGCAAATTCTTAATGCCCTCACCTTTCTCCAATAAAGTTAATTCTGCCTTAGAATAAAACTAAAAAAAAACCCCAAAACATATGTTCGCAAACACTTTTGTCTTATTATTACTCTCTTCCATCTATGTCTTTTATACCCATCTGTATTTTAATATGCTTAAATAAAAATAATTTTTTTAGTTTTGAATACTTTTTCATTTGCATTTTTGATATTTCAATTGCTAATTTATATGTGAATATTCTTCTTAAGCTTAAGTCTTTATTTTTATACTGATACACTTAAAGCTGTCACTTAAATCTCTACAGTTGAATTTGTGTAGGTTCAATTTTTAATTTTTGTTTTTCAGTTTTTGAAGTTTTAAAAACCAATTTTCTGTTTTCTCAAATTGTTCTGAAATTTCTTTTGAAAAATGTTTTTCTAAATTTAAATTTTCATTTCATACTATATATTTTGAAATTTTTACTTAACTACTATAGGCAATATTGTGGTATACTTTGATTTTCCAATGCATATATTTCATGCTTTATATTTAAAAATCTATATGTTGACATTTTAACTGATTTTTAAGATTTTCCTTTCTGTTTTTCAAGTGTTTCTTTCACTATTTCTATAAATTTTCATTTTTAAATTTGCTTTATTCATTTTGCCTTTCTTAAATTTTAATAGTTTCTAAATACTCTATCATTATATACTAACAATTTGGAATCACTTTAAATTAAAATGTTTAAAAATATTTCTTCTAAAATACTTAAATTTTGAACATTTACAAACATTCTCTTAAAACTTTCAACAGTGGTTTTAATATTTTTCTTTTAAAGCTTTAAAATTTGCCTTTTAAAATATTTTGGGTTTTTTTTTTCAGACTATTCATTCACTCATAGCAGGAATACCAGTTAAAAAGCCTTCCTAAAAAGTACCCCTCCACACACACACTCTTCACAATATTCTTGCATCAATACATAGAACAAGGTAGTGTGAAAACATCCCACATCCCTCCATCTTGAGAACTCATTTAATTTGCTTTATGTGACCCTTTTCAACTTCTCCCCGCCCTTTCCATCATTTCTTAAGGCTGAACAGTTATTTACTAGTATTCAATGTCTTCCTCCCATAGAATTATGGGACATAGTAAAATATATCAAAGTGCTATTTGTCAGATACACATTATTGTCATTGTCCCAGTCCAGGTAGATTTTTGTGTTACTTTAAGAGGTGTTCGTTGTGTTAATGTCATTGTAATTGTCCATTCCAGGTAGGGTTGTGTATCTTTTCAGGATCCTTACTTTTACTCTTTTCAGGTAAGTGGTCTGAGTAAGATTATTCTTTCTCTCCTTTCTCTCTATCTTGTCTGTGATAGAATAGTAAATACCCTTCACTATAGAGTAAGTCCTCAATTGTAGCCTTGGTGATGATGGCATCATCACAGTTGAACCATTGGTCCTTTTCTTGACGGATAAAACTGGTATAATGACCACTTTCCAAAGTTCCATGATGGTTAATCACTGCAAATAAAGAATACTTATTCTCCCTGGGTACACAATCTGTCAATGGCTGGCCTTTCATTATGCTTTCTTTAGTAGAGGCCAAAAAAGGAGTCATGTCCAACTCCAAAGGAAAAGAGATAAAAGTATTAATCTTTCTCCTTTGTTTGCCTACATGTTCAAACCGCTTGAGATGAAAACAGGCTACAATTGGTAATTTCTTCATTGTGAGTTGTTTGGTAGATTCCTGGTAGCTTTCACAGCGGCTGCATTTGATTTTGGCACTGCTTCCCAGGTCCTCTGGCCTTGTAAACCATTGTAGGCAATCTATAAGGGAGGGGCTTCCTGGTCTGTGGTCATCCCTGCTCACTATGCTACTACCCCTCTCTGAGGTATAACAGCCAGGCAAATCCAAACTAATGTCCCAGCATGGGTCTATAGTGGTAGAGACACCATGACACACATGACATGTCAAATCTGACTGTAAGCCACCAGTAAAGATTTGGTCTATAATACAGTTGCAGCAGTTAGTGTTACCATCCTCCTCAATGCTATCATCTTTGCTGTGCCTATGCAGCACATCTAATATTGCAATAAGAAACTCATGAGCATCCTGCTGCCTGTACCCCGCTAAATGTTCTGCATGAATCCATATCAGGTGCAGTAACTTGTAGGGAACATGAGGCGATCGGCTCCCCGAGTACATAGCATGAAAAAGTGAACACATTTCACAGACTAGACACAGGCTAGGGCTTGTCATTATACATTTATGCTTGTCAGAGAGGAAAAAATCTTTCAGCAGAGGAATATGGGTAAGTGCCTGGACAACACAGTTCATAAAACAAGTGTTCCCAAGGTTGATTAACCCTCTGAAGCCTACAGCATATACTACATTTTTCCTCCTCTTTTTCTTGGGTTTTACTAGTGTGGTCTCCTGTTCCTTTGATTCACAGGTTGACTGATTTTCTTCAACCTCCAGTGTCATACACTGTTGATAAGTGGAAGTTAAGACTCCCAGAATATTTTCTTTTGTTTCTTTGGCAATCTGATCTATGTCTTTGTCATATACATAGTCCTGGCACACAAAGCAATATACAACTCCATGATAGAGGTCTACTGCTAAATTGTGTTGTTTTGTTTCTGCATGGTTATGAATATGTTTCTCAGTAAAGCATCCAAAAAATACGCAAGAGAGACACGAGTGAAGTCTGTTGCCATAAGTGCTACATACATTACAGATGCACGAGTTTGCCTTACGTTTCCTAGTCTCCGAACTTCCGCGCCAAATGAATCGCTGGTAGGTGATCCGTAGGTTCTTTTGCCAGTTTTTGCCTACTTTAAAGCTCTGCACATGAGAGCAGTTCTCTGGGCACTTATCAGACTCCTCCTCCTCCTCCTCCTCCTCGTCCTCCTCCTCCTCCTGAAACCAGTCCCCACCGCCTGGATCCCCGGACCCTATGGTGCCTGGATCCCCAGAGCAGCCTCGGTCACCAGAAAAGGTTTTCCGTGTTTGGGGCCTGGGTCTAGGCCGGGATCTACGCATAGATTGGCGCCGGGTCACAGGCCGAGGCTGGGGTGGAGGCGGCAGTACCGGTGGTGGAGGCGGTGGCTGGGAGGGTGGCGGGGGTGGGGCCAAGACCCCACGCCCACCCCTGGAGCGGGACCTGGGCTGCGGCCGAGGGCGGGGCTTGCGGCGCGGGCAAACCGAGCTGCAGCTGGTGTGACAGGCATCGCGGGTGGATGGGAGCATCTTCTCATCGCTCCCACTGCAGCTCCCCGTTAAGTTGTCAGACGCGGCCTCGAGCTCCTGCCACGGCTCTGGCTTCATCCCCTCGTATCCCTGGGCAATCCGCATCGTCTGCTCCATTCTCGCTGACTTCTCAGCCGCCTGCTCCGAACAGGCTCCGCGACCACCTCCCGAACTCCAGCAGGCAACGGAGCGGGAGGACCGGGAAGTTTCTCGAACCTGGGCCATCGGCTCACTCCCTGGGCTGGGAAGAAACGCGTCTAGAAATGAACTGTGACTGTGGGTGGAGGGAGACGGGCCCGGCGTCATGGCCGCGGCGTTCTTAGACTCGGCCCCTCCCCCCGCCGCGAGCCCCGCGCGGAAACAGCTCCGCCCCTGTAAGGGGGCTCGCGCAAGGTTCGGAGCTCGCGGCTACCTGCTCCAAAAACGGTCAGATTTGCGGGTACCGGGGCGGGAGTGGGGAGACTGGACTGAGCTTTAGAATGTGAAAAGGATGGAAACTTCCTTTTAAAAGGCGCTACCCTGTGTCTTTTCGGCGCTTTATGGAGCCTCGCTTTGGAATACCTTGCTCTAATGATATTTCCTTGTATCTTTAAAACCCTTGAATCAACATGGTATATAAAATATGGCTGAAAAGAGAGTACCTTTTCAAAAACTGAGTCTAGGGAGAAAGTGTCCCCTGGCTCCTCTCTCACCTATGCTTCTGCCTGTACTCCTAAGCGCTCTCACAGTACAGCACGCTCTAGCGCCCTCTCTTGCTCTTCCCTGCCTGTACTCTCACACCCTATTCCATGCTCCCATTCTCTCATTTCCTAGGATTTCCCCTAGAATTCAGACACCTTCTCACTCCCTTCACGCATGACCACCCCCCTCCAACAGTGCGCGATCCCCAAAGTGCCTGCTCCCTTCCCCCACCTCTGTCCCCACAGCTTCCCCAACCCAAGAATTTGTAGAAAGGTCTGGGTTACCTGGGGCCCCAAGGCGCTTGATCTAGAAAGTCAGCTGCTGCTGCTGTCCAGGCGCTCCTCTGCCAGTCTTCTCTCTGACCTCTCCTCCAGGCTGGTCACAAGGGGGCCGCCCCCTGGCCCCTCCCCTCTCCACTTATGGGCCCCCAGCCCCGGATTCTGGCCTCCAGCAGTGATGAATGGCACCGCGGATCCCCCTTAGGCAGACAAACCTTCCTGAAAGGGATTCTACTAGAGGCAACAACTGCCACACATTTTAGAGAAGGATCTTGGAAAGGTTCGGGTTTTACCTGACTATGGCCCTCTCTACAGAAAGAAAAAAAAAAAAGATAAATCAAAGTGGGGTTGAGGGTTTACCAGGACAGGGAAACTACAATATTCCTTCAGGAACGTTTCAGAATCAGATCTCATAGGAAATTGGACTTTACTACTCCTGAGATTGGGGGAGACGAGAAATAAGCATGAATCAGGTTTTGATGGACCTGAGCCCAGTAACTTGTTGCCTACACAGCTAAAATCTTAAACTTTCAGAGCCATGATTCTTTAGTCTCTTGACCAAATACTGAAGTAATAATATTAACATGTTAACACGGAGCAGTATATACATAAAGTCTTTATGGCATCCTTGAACTTTTGTACTCCTCCTTAGCACACAGGATAGAGCCAGTAGAAAAAAAACACTATCTAGGAGCAGCACGTTTAGAAACTGTGCTAAGGTTAAACGAAGAGAAAGTGCTGTAGCTGCTAGGGATCAGGAACACTTTCTGAGCCCTGACTTATCATACCTCCTTCTCCCTTCAGCATCTATCTACAAGGGGTAGTAGAGGTACATAATGTGTCTGCTGTTGTAGGAAACAATGGCAACAGGAAAATTCCTGTCAGGCTAAAAAGAATGTTATCTCTGATTCTTGAAAATATACTCCCATATGAAACTTAACACACTCTTAATTTTACCAAACTGGGCCTATTCTCCCTCAG